CCTTGCCCCTGCAGTGAAAGGTAGACTGAATTAGGTATCACTAGATGGGTGTGATGAATGTGCTGTACTGAGAGGAAGAGAATTATCCCTGGGATAAGAGCTTCTTAGGCATCCTTAATATCAATGGTGTTAGCAAAGCTGAGGTTGAAGCAAGAAATGAGGCATTCTGAGAAAATGAAAATAATTTAATGGTGCTTTGCTGATACCTGCCTTGAACAGACCAGATATTAACAGTAGGCATATATGTAAAATATGAGATTTCTTAAATGTTTCTCTGTGTGCCAGTAGGGATCAGCACTGAAAAGAACTTTACTAATTGTTAAGTCAGTGCGGAATCCAAGAAGCTTAACTTCATATAACGTGGCAGTTTTCTCTTTACTTCAAGATGTTAACAGAGTCCCTGGATTGGTCTCACATTTTGATCATAGGTGAACTGCCTCCTACTATGAATTATTTAGTTCCCCCGTACATAATACGTACTGGTTATATAGGATGCTGTTGGGTTATAAAGCACTATCAGCCTTAAATAGCACAGAGAATATATCCCTTGGAAACCATCTTCTTTGTAAATGTACAACAAATTCAGACTATGGGAATTTATACCATTATTTACTTGGAAGCAGGGACATCTTCATTAAATCCTTTCCCCCCTGCCCCCTCATTTTTGTAGTGTATAAACTAGTTTGTAATTAATGGTCCAACATGATTTCTAGTCCAAAAAGCAGCTCCCAAAGTATAACTCTTTGTCCAGATGATGTGGCATTCAAAATCCTCTTCTAGGTTACTCCTTTTCATCTCCTTTCTTTCACTTTCTTGGAAAGAGAATCGAATTCACATGTGATATGGAAGGGAGGCAGCTCTTCTGAATAATGCATTTTGCTGTAGTATTGTTCTTTTCTGCTATCTTTGCCAATTTCTTTCTTAGTTGAACTTAATAGTTTCTTCCGTCCAGTCACAGAAGAGATAGTCTTCTCTTCCACCCCTTTATTTAGTACCTCTGCTTTCACATGAATAGTGCCATAGCTTTTACTCTGTCCATTGTGTTCAGAGATGTCTTGGAAAATTTACATTCGATTGCGGTCATATGATGGCAGCACCATCACGCAAAACCATCGGTGTAAGAAAAATCATGTCTGTACCTCTTTGCCTGAGGCCTTTTACCGGGAATGGCTTTGTTTAGAACTCTTTTGTGTTAAAACCTCTTTTTACAGTAAAACTTGAAATCTTATTTACTTTAGGACTCCACTATTTGGACTACAAGCAAGCATTATGAGGGAAAACGGTGGGGGTCATCTGCTACTGTGCTTCCATATTTATTATGCTGCTGTGTCAGTTGTTTGCATGCTGTCCAGTGTATAAAACTCTTTTCTGTATGTGGTGAACAGAGCAGCTACATTCAGGGGATGCATTCAGTCTCCAGGAATAAGAAATGCAGAGAAAGACATGCAAGGATGTGAGAAGGGCATGGGACTGGGATAGATGCCTGCAGGATGTCTGCCAGGGAATTCTGTTTTTTGAGAACTTTCCCATTGAAGTGGCAAATATTTGTACAGACAAGTTTCAGTCATGTGCCACAGCTGGCAACGTAACGGAGTCCAGCCTGCTTTTAGAACCTCTCTGTAGAATTAGTTGGATGGATCTGTTTCCAAGTCTCTTTCAGAGCAAATTAACAAAACTAATGTGGTGTTGCTACCCAGTATTCACAAGAGCGTCACTGGAAGGTGAATCTGTGTTAAGCACCAATGTTACACTGAAATGAGAGAGTGTGCGCACGCATGCATGAGTCAGCCACTGTAGGTGGCACTGAAGATGGCTACCCAAAAATCTGAATTCTTATATCCCACTCTCCATATTCAAACTGTACATAAAAATACTGGTCACCAACAGCCAGTCTTAAGAATAGCTGTCAGGTGTCTCTGGTTAAACCGAGGTTTGAGATTTTCATAGAATCATACAATGGTTTGGGTTGGAAGGGACCTCAAAGATCATCTAGTTCCAACCGCCCCTGCCATGGGCAGGGACACCCTCCACTAGACCAAGTTTTTGATTCTTTTTTCCTGTGTTCAGAAGCAGTTCAGCCCTTTTACTGAAAAGAGACAGAGACAAATTTTGTCCTCTCTTCCAGGAGTGCAGCCAGGAGCTTCCTTGTTTGCAAAAAAAAAATAATAAAAAAAAAATTATATTTGAATAGAAATAATGGAGCAATACTGGGAGGAACTGGACCAAATGCTACTTGGTCATTCAAAAATGAAAGGCAGTGGTACTGAACAGGCATGTAATTGTGGCAGATTGTGAATGATAAATTCATTTTAAGTTCAGGATGGTTGTCTTTTTATGAGTATAAAAGATGACAAGAAGATGTTTTGGGGTCTTCTGTTGCTGCCACAGTACAATACAAATCTGTGCATACTGCAAAAAAACCATTCTGTGCATAGAAGTAGTTAATGTATAGATGATAATATAGATTGTTAGAAAATACAGCATCAAACTAGGAGAGGGTTAAAACAGAATGCTGGAGTACCAATAGAAGGGAAATATATCTTGGAGCTGAGGTGTTGACATGGCAGGTTTGAAACACTCTTAGTCCTTTGTGCAATTGGCCATGAGTCAAGATTTAGACCAAGTGTTTCATAGAAATTAAAGGGAAAACAAATGTTTGGTTATGGAATAGAAAGAAGAATACAGCCGTGGAAAATGAAATAAAAAGATGGAGCAGAGTGCCACTGAAGTGCCAGTAAGACATAGCACAGGATAACGTGCAGAGTACTGTTGCAAATAGCACAGTCCATGTGAGTCAATATATTTCATGTGCATGTGTGTATGTATACATGTAGAGAGCACGTGGGGGAGAGACGGTCTCAACTTGTACGTAGCCTGGGAAATGAGCGTGCAGGACAGAACCAAATGTTCTGCAAATAACTTTGAGACACATTGTCAAAACATTTTCCATTGTTATCAACAGGGATTCAGTTGTTCGACTTAGCAGGGTTGGTAGTTGTAGTGCAGACATTGTTTCAGCTGGCCAATCTTTTTACACCACATTGTTTAGAGTTTATCCTATGGAAGTTTATTAGTGCATATTTCAATATTGGTGCATATCCTAGGGCTCCTAATTTTGCCAAAATGCTAGTCAGGTATTGGGGATTTTTTGGCCTGTTTTTGTGTTGAGAACCCTTTTATGGCAGTGCAAATAGATGAGGGGGAAAAGAAAGCTGGGTTTTTTTCCTGAAGAAAGAGGTCTCCTTTCTGTAACTGCTCTGTTGTTTAATAGGCTGTGTCCGTTCTGCCAGATCCTGTATGATAAACACCTTTTCCAATCTCACTGAAGAGAGGACTCCATTAAAAAAATACAGCTGTGGGTTTGTGAGCGTGAGCAA